TAGCCAGCTCGCAGCTTATTCCAGAAAAGTGGCTGATTTTCCGGAATAAGTGGCCCAGTGTAGACACAGCCAGGGGCTGTGTCTACATTGGCAAGATTTTGCGCAAATACTTTTAACGCAAGAGTTTTTGCATTAAAGTATTTGCGCAAGAGAGCGTCTACACTGGCATGTGCTTTTGCGGAAGAGATGTGATTTTGCGCAAAAGCATCCATGCCAGTGTAGACGCGCTCTTGCGCAAGAAAGCGCCGATGGCCATTCTAGCCATCGGGCTTTCTTGCACAAGAGGGCTTATTCCTGAGCGGGAGCGTCATAGTTCTTGCGCAAGAAGCACTGATTTCTTACATTAGAACATCAGTGTTATTGCGCAAGAACTCACGGCCAGCGTAGACAGGCGGCAAAATCTTGCCAATGTAGACACAGCCAGGCTGTTTTGATAGGAACTAGGATAACACTCAACAATTCATTTTATTTTTCTTAATCTATCAGCATTTGTTCTGGGATCTGAAAATTTCATTTTCTGATTCATTTAATTTTATCAAGAAGTCTCCCCAGCGGCAAATACTACAGGAGATGAATGTTTTTTCTTGGTACTGAAATAATAATTTTGCCTCAAGGTTTGACTTGCAAATTTGACGTGTAAATCAGAAGTAACTCCATTAAAGTCAATAGGGTTAAATAAGTGTAAGCCTGGCACAAATCTGCAAATAAGGTTTCCCCATTCATCATAACATTAGCCCAATGTGCTTATTTAATCATATCAATTATGGCACAAAGGAACTTTCATTTTCCAGGAGGATTCTTTGCAAAAGTTCTCATGAATTTATAATCTTGCTGAAGATTCAATTACTTGCCAAGAAACTCTCTTGTGTTATTTTTCATCACAGCTCAAAACTAGAAATTCTATTTTATGTGTTACTGTTGAGCCCGGAGTCAGTGGGACTTCCCGCTGGCCCTGGGCTCCACATGGCGTTCCAACTTTAAAATGCACAAGAGCCCCTGCTGGGGACTCTTGTACATTTCAAAGGCAGAACCCAGAACAGCACTTCCACCTTGAAATGTAGCAACACCCGGGCAAGCTCTTGCTACACTTCAAAGCTGAAGCACCCTTATTGACTAGTCGAAGGAAATTCCAGTGACTGTTCGATTAGTTGATTAATCTAATTTTAACATCCCTAGTGCAAGGTATGAAGTTGTGTGTGTAGTTTCTCCCCACAATTTTTTTAAAGCAAGATTCTTTCAGCTGCTTTGCAGTTTGGGGGGGGGAGGGCAAATTTGTGTTAGGGTATGAAGTTGTGTGTGTAGTTTCTCCCCACAATTTTTTTAAAGCAAGATTCTTTCAGCTGCTTTGCAGTTTGGGGGGGGGAGGGCAAATTTGTGTTA